AGCTGTACCCGCCCCCTCCCCTGTCAGCTCTGCCAGTCAGCGCTGGCAGATCGGAGCGGGGAGAGGGGAATCCAGCCCCTCCCCCTGTCACGGCAGAGAGCCGTGAAAGGATCGAGAGGTGAGCGAACCCGGTATGTGTTCGCTCACCTCCCGATCTACTGAGCCGACCTGTGACAGTCTCATTGTCGCAGGTCGGCTATAACTATGAGGTGAGTGGAAATCACTCATCTCATAGTTCTCCTTTAAGCCTTAAATGGCTGATAAGAGAAAGTTCTGCACTCAATGAAAACAAAATGTTGTGTCCTGCTTTTTAGAATACAGCTGTATATACCTTTCCTTCTCTAGTTAGGCCAAACACCCTGTAGTTTAGATTCAGAAGCCCTTCAAAGTGTATGTATAGCCAAAACATGTTTTCCTTGCCATGTCCTGTTGGGGAGATTTCCCTTTACACAGACAAAACAGGAAGTGAGAGGAAATTTCTACAAAGTGAAGGAAAATCCCCTCTTAGACAGTAGATATCAGAGCATGTGTTTCATTAGAAGATTTCCTCTCACCTTCTGTTCCTATGACAACTGTAGAATTTTGGATTTTTCATCACTTTCTGAACCAGAAACAATGGTCACCAGGACGAATAGAGAGACTGACTTTCTGACAGGGGTTTTAAACGGCCTCACTGTAATCCAAACTTAACAAAAAAGCTCCTACCTGGAAAATGCCCCATGGACAGTGACGTCACAAGGGGGGTGCGGGGGGTGCGGCCCGCACCTGGGTGCCACCATTGGAGGGGTGACATCAAAATGATTGAAAGTCATTTTGGTGTCACCCCCTATGAAAAGTCGGGTACTTGGTCATGGACAACGCGATTTAACAGCCTTTGAACGTGGGATGATTGTTTAGCACGAGCATCAGCAAAACAGCAGAATTCGTTAAATGTTCAAGAGGGGCTCATTGTTAAAGTGTTTAAAGACTGGACTGTCAGCCGAAAATCTGGGTCTGAACGCGTGAATTGTGGCCGTCAGCGACTAGTCAATGTTACGGCAGAACGGGGAGTGGCAAGACTGGTACAAGACAACAGAAGGGCAACAGTGCAGTGTCAGATTCCTCGCAGCACCTTTCAACATCTCGTGGAGTCACGAGGCGCACAAACTAAGTCATCTCGTGGAGTCATCTTGTAGCCCAACGAAGTACTGATGGGGTGGTCATAATAATCTGGCCACTCAGTTTATAGGACTGAAAATGCAAAGGAACAAACTAAGGAGTCTGAATTCAATGGTAATGGAAACCTCTTCTGAAAGGAATGAGCCACTGCTGATCTCTCCTTCTGTTAATGCTGTTTTCCTGGCTGTCGTGCTGATCGAAGAGCTTATGTTTTTTTTCTCACTTACTCTCTGACCCTCTACAAATATAGATGAGCTTTAAATTCAACTGCTGTGTTCTTGTTCTGGGGTGCTGGGGAAATACTAAGGAAGTGCTAAAATTAGAGAACTACCATGAATACCAGGCAACTTGCACTTTCAGAAAAAGGTCAGCAATGACACCCCATATTTCTCTCAAAAAAAGGTTCCTTTAAAATATTCAAAGAACTAAATCATCTTTCATTTGCAGTGTTTGTTGATCTTCTTATTGGAACGGAAAATAACTGCAAATTAAAAATAAAAGCAACACAACAGTCTTGGTAAAAGGAATGCTGATTTCCACAGTGGATGTATCCTAGAAGATAACACATGAGCAGGATATAAAATATGCATATTTAATATGGCAAATCAGTATTCATATTTGACTAATCAGACGTCAATAAACTGAAACTGGATTGGCTGCTGTGCAGTACACTGCACACATCATGACTGAGCCCCCAAACTGGTACCACGGAAGCAATTAGGAAAGTACAGAAAAATCATCATCAGCAAATTGCTAGCTTGAAGCAGAGTTCTTAGCAAAGGTTGGACTGCTGAGAGAATCAAAGTAAACCAATTTGAGGGTTATTTCCAGTTTTCAAATGTTCTGCAAAACAAATGATTACTTTAAAATAAGTTTTTGGATCCCATTCGCTCAGGGCTGGCGAGCCAGGTAGCCAATGCTCCTTAAAGTGACATTAAACCCTCAGATTTTTTTAACATAAAACAATACTGTAATGTGCGCCTTACTGTAATCCATGGTTGTTTCCCTTCTCTTTGCTGCTCTTCCTTTTAAATCTGTATCTCTTCTCATGCTGGGCAGAACTTCTGTTTTGCAGCAGACTGCCTTGTCTCAGGAATGGATACACGGTGTCTGTGTATCCGTTTGTATAGGCTTGTAACCTGAGCCAGCACTACAGGAAGAGGCCCCGAGCTGAAAAGGGAAGTTCTGCCCAGCATGAGAAGACATGAGGATTTAAAAGGAAGAGCAGCAAAGAGAAGGGAAACTACCATGGATTACAGTAAGGTGCACATTACAGTATTGGTTTATGTTAAAAAATCTGAGGGTTTAATGTCACTTTAACATTTACAGCTGGTGTCTAACTTTTGAGGTTTTTTTCTAATTCTGGCCAGTGGGGCTGGCTCTTAAAAAAGAATCCTGCTGTCTCCTGGATTGGACAGACTGGCACCTGAATTCCATATTCATTTGTCCACCCCTGTATTAGCTTAAACATTAAGAGTCAGTTTATGGACACATTGGTGGCTCTCTGGATGGACAAGGCTGTCCTGATTGCAAAAGGACAAAAGACTGCATAGCCAAAGAAATTATCCATAAATGAATATTATAATCTCCCGTTTTAAGAGAACTAGGAAATGATAAGGGTACATTTTGGGGGGAAAAAATAGAAATGCAAAAAAGTCCCTTTCATATACAACTAAAATTCAGAGCATTGTTATTGACACATCTACATGCCTTTAAACACAGGGCTGTAGGAATACAACAACCCATGTAGCCTATGCAGGCCAACAAAAGTCTGTAAACGTTTCCTATAGTTGTGAATGTAAGCTCTTCATATCTTATGTAGTATTAAACTCAAACAATTTTTAAATAATGACTCCAGATCAAAGACATATACATTGTTCAGCAAAGTATTTCTTTACATTTTTGACCAAGTACTTACAGTCAACTGGCTGCCCCTCTCTCTGCTTGGCTTCCCTGAATTTCCTGTCCAGTACAAGATTACAAGGGACAGCACAGTCTCCAGCAGCTGTCTATCTACTAGCTTGCAGAAGGGAAGAGTGGGAAGCAGGGAGCAGAGGATTGGTTTGCCTTGCTGTGCCTGTGTTTGTGGAGACACACACACAGGTTACTAGCACACTCAAGGTAGCACACTCCATAGGACCCTGTAAGGGAAAGGAGCCACCATAACATAGGATATCAGGACCAATGCTCAAGGGACCAGCTGATTCTGCAGGAAGCTAAAACTTTTAAACTTTAAGGAGCAGCATCCATTGTAAGTGATTTGACCAGCATTTAAAATAGCTTTTGACTTAATATTGTTAACTATGGGGGCTACTATTGTAAAAAAAAATAAGTCTAGTTGCAGGGCTGCCATGCTGGCCCTCCAACATCAACACTTTAAGCTACTGACCCATATAGAACATAGTTACATCAATGAGGTTGAAAGAAAAAAAAAAAGACAGTTTCATCAAGTCCAACATGTCTGTGTGTTAGATACATAGAGCCCTTGTTCACACCTCAGAGTGCGCTTGTAGTGCGCTGCGATAGGCAGCCTACAGCTAAAAGGTATGCACTTTTTTTTTTTTACATCACACCACATCGCATGGCAATAGGTTACCATGCAATGCGGCATGATACCACATCGTTTTTGCACGTTTTATGTGCGTTTTTGGCTAGCTATAGTTGCGCGCATTAGCCATTGAAGTCTATGGGGAAAATTGAACTGCAAACTGCCAATAGAAGCTCATGTACTTTTTATCTGCGTTCGGCATTTCGCTGCTCAAGTGTGAACAGATGAATTGAAAGTCATGGGAGTTCTTGTGTTAGGCTTTTGGAAGCTTGTTTTCTACTGCTCACAAACACCTAGGTGTGAACAGGGACTAACATTAGAAATCCTAATCTGTATACTTGCTTTGGGCCAGTTACTCCAGTATTGAAGCTAGAGGTTAGTAGCCAGGCAGTCAGCATGTGCAGAATGAGACCTTGGCTAAGGTATAATTCCATTTTTCATTCAAGAAATGTTTCCTTTACAGGTGAGTAACTTTGAAATCTTCAGAGACAAAATGAAACCACACACACACACACCATAACCCAATAAATAAAATATCTCCTGCGTGCACTTTGTTTTCAGGTTAAGTGATTTGACTAGCTGGCACTGCAATTAAAATCAGGTACAAAGCCAAGTGGAACAGCATTATTTCACAACACCAACAAAACAATCTCTTCACATCTTTTTTTTTTTTACAAAGACTTGCCTAATAATAAACTGGATCTAGCTTGAGTAATTAAAGCAATATTTAAATCCATGCCAGGATGCAGGAATGAAGTCCACAAAGAGGTGTGTTTCCCGAAGGAAGAAAAAAGCAAGCAGTGATGTGTACTGTACTCCAGTGGAAAATTCCCAATAATCATACCCAGAACGTAGAAATACAATGTCACTTCATTGTAGTGTAATATGTAGCAGTCAGAGCTGTGGCCACTTCCAACCAACTTCGCATCTGACTCCTTAGAAAACTTTTCCGACTTTTTAGTTTTGCAACCGACAACTCCTCCTGTACTGATTCAGCTGTGCAAGACTATTCATTTTACTCCTATTATTTGGTACATAAACGGCTGCCAAAAAAAAAGGATTGTGGAATGCCAAACTTTCCACAATAATTTCAGAGATCAAAGCAGTGTTTGAAATATTTGGCATTTGAATGCATCTGATGGAACACTATTAGCGCATTTGCTGGGTTTTGCTAGTTATTTCTACTCTGCCCTCTCACTAATGGATGCAGATTTATAGTACTGTCATTGCACGATATAAGTAACATTGTTGCCCCTTTAACCCATGCCAGCACAGGCAGCTTCTATAGACGTACCTTGATTTAAGAGAAGTAGTCAGTGTGTGCCATGCCAGGAGCCCGGGACAGTACTGATCCGGATGATTACATCCAACAGCCAGGAAGCCAGAAAGCCAAATCTCAACATGTCATCATGACTCGATAACCCAAAAAGTATCCAGCAAACAGAATCCACAGCGATCGGAGTAATTCCAGTGCACTATAGAAGGGTAAGGAGGAGGTGGAACCCAAGAATCTGGTCCAGACAGGGGAAGCCCGGATCACCTGTGCCAAGTGTCAGGATGGCAGCTCTCCCGGGCACACTCTTGGATAGGACAGTGCTTGCGGGTGCTTGTGTAACTGATGAGCCCTGCTCCTCCTCCTTCCCGGCCTGTGTATGTGGAGTGAAGTGAGTGAGTGAGTGTGCTGGAGAGAGAGGCAGCACATAGAGCAACTCCTGCAGAAACTAGGTCACCCAGTAGCAGCGCCTAACAACATCATTAGCGAGCGGCTACAGAGCTGGGAGAGCAGAGCAGGAGCCGGCTAATGCTGTCACACTGCTGCCTCCTCCTTATCTTCTTCTATGGAGCTCCCCCAACCACACTCTGCCCTCTTCTCACACCTACCCCATGCCCTGGGTGTGTAGAAATGCCACTGAGCCATTTTACTGCACTTTGCCTTTTTAGCTCACTTTACAGGTATAGCTACACTATATTGCCAAAAGTATTGGGACACCCCTCCAAATCATTGGATTCAGGGGTTCCAATCATCTCCATGGCTACAGGTGTATAAAATCAAGTACCTAGGCATGCAGACACTTCTACAAACATTTGTGAAAGAATGGGTCGCTCTAAGGAGCTCAGTGAATTCAAGCGTGGTGCCGTGATAGGTTGTCATCTGTGCAATAAGTCCATCCTTGAACATTTCCGTGCTACGAAATATTCCACGGTCAACTGTTAGTGGTATTATAACAAAGTGGAAGCAACTGGGAACAACAGCAACTCAGCCACGTAAAATGACAGAGCGGGGTCAGCGCATGCTGAAGCGCACAGTGTGCAGAATTCGTCAACTGTCTGCAGAGTCAATAGCTACAGACCTCCAAACTATGTGTGGCCTTCAGATCGGCACAACAACAGTGGGTAGAAAGCTTCATGGAGGGCTTGTTCACACCAAGCGCGTTCCATGAGCAGAGCAGTTATAGACCAGATCAAATCTGCGTCCCATGTATTCCAAATGGTATTTTGGGCTCTAGTTCACACCGCAGCGTTCAGTTCCAGAGCATGTAAAAAAAACTGCAGCAAGCCCTATTTTTCCTGCTCTGGAACACATGCAAATACATCAAAAATGCATGCAAACGAAGCACTGGAATGCACTGAAAGACCATTTTAAACTAACATTTCTTTTTTTTTAACCAAAAACGGCCTGGAACGCATCAAAAACGCGGTATAACACACTGCACTGCGTGTGCAGAAACTCATCCAGATCTGGTCTGCATTTGGTGTGAACAAGCCAGGAATGGGTTTCCATGGCCAAGCAGCTGCATCCAAGCCTTACATCACCAAGTTCAAAGCGTCGGATGCAGTGGTGTAAAGCACACCGCCACTGGCCTCCAGAGCAGTGGAAACATGTTCTCTGGAGTGACGTATCACGCTTCTCTGCCTGGTAATCCCATGGACGTGTCTGGGTTTGGCAGTTGCCAGGAGAACAGTACTTGCCTGACTGCATGTGTAAAGTTTGGTGGAGGGGGGATTATGGTGTGGGGTTGTTTTTTTATGGGTTAGGCTTGGCCCCTTAGTTCCAGTGAAGGGAAGACATTTTGGACAATTTCATGCTCCCAACTTTGTGGGAACAGTTTGGGGATGGCCCCTTCCTGTTCCAACATGACTGCGCACTAGTGCACTAAGCAAGGTCCATAAAGACATGGATGAGCGAGTTTAGGGTGGAGGGACTTGACTGGCCTGCACAGAGTCCTGACCTCAACCCGATAGAACACCTTTGGGATGAATTAAAGCGGAGACTGCGAGCCAGGCCTTCTCGTCCAACATCAGTACCTGACCTCACAAATGTGCTTCTGGAAGAATGGTCAAACATTCCCATAGACACGCTCCTAAACCTTGAGTTGAAGCTGTTGAAGCTGTTATAGCTGCAAAGGTTGAGTCAATTCAACATTGAACCCTGCGGACTAAGACTGGGATGCCATCAGAGTTCATATGCATGGAAAAGCAGGTGTCCAAATACTTTTGGCAATATAGTGTATATGATGCTGTGACTATAGAGGGAATTCATGGTCTATGGATCAGCCTTTCTCTATTGGTGTTCAGGAAAGGGTCCTCTTACATTGGTGGTTAATGGAGAAATGCCTCTTTTTAATGGTGTTTAGTTAAAGGCTCCTTCAGTAAGGGGACCCTTAACTGATCCACTGTTCAGTTAAGGGTTCCCTTACATTGGTGGTCAGTTGAGAAAAGCCTCATTATGATGATGTTAAGATAAGAGTTCCCTTACATTTCTCCATGGTGGTCCATGGAGAAACGTCTAACTATATTGGTTTTCAGTTAAGAGTCTACTTAGTGGCATCCCCATCTGTTTGCCGCCTGAGGCCGTGGCAGGAAGGGGGAGCACTCTGGCCCTTAAACATCTCCCCCCCCCCTTGGCTCTTAGCAACCTGGGATGCTCTGGCTGGAATGGGGCGGCATTGTGCAGCAGAGCGGCCACTATACAACAAAGATGCCGCTCTGCCTGCCGCCACCTCTACCACCTGAGTCAAGAGCCTCCGGCTGCCTCATTAAAGGGGCGGCCCTGGGTCTACTTACATTGGTGGTCAGTAGAGAAATGCTTCTTTATATTGGTGTTCAGATAAGAGTCCCCTTAGATTGGTGGTCAGTAGAGAAATTCCACTTTTACCAGTGTTCAGTTAAGCGTCTCCTTAAATTGGTGATCAGTGGAGAAAAGCCTCATTATGATGGTGTAGATAAGAGTCCACTTACATTGGTGGTCAATAGCAAATGCCTCCTTATATTGGTGTTCAGTTAAGGGTTCCCTTACATTGGTGGTCAGTGGAAAAAAGCCTCATTATGACGGTGTTAAAATAAGAGTCCCCTTACATTGGTGGTCATGAGAAAATGCCTCCTTGTATTGGTGTTCCGATAGGGGTCCCCCTACCTTGGTGTTCTGTGGAGGAATGCCTCTTTATATTGGTGTTCAGTTAAGGGTCTCTTTACATTGCTGGTCAGAGGAGGAATGCCTCTTGATATTGGTGTTCAGTTAAGGGTCTCTTTACATTGCTGGTCAGAGGAGGAATGCCTCTTTATAATGATGTTTAGGTAAGGGTCTCTTTACATTGGTGGTCAGTAGAGAAATGCCTCCTTATATTAGTGAAAAAAACACAAACAAGGGGCGCCTTTCCTGGTGCAGACAAATTTATTAAGATCAGGATTGAAGGTAAATATAAAACATACTCACAAAATTCACGATTGAAGTATAAAAAGTATAAAAATTAAGTCCATGGACCCAAGGAAAAGTCTATGAAAGCTGCACAGCCGTGTCTATGTGTCAGCAGAGGAGACTGTGTGATGACGCGTTTCCGGGGTCACTCCCTCCAGGCGAGCCCACGTATAGCCCTCTCATGATTGGTCCAGCGCCACGACAGGCTATCCGTCAGTCACAGGACAGGGCTCCATTTTCTAAGCCACGGAGGACTCGTTACACAAACCCTATAACAGCTGCGGTTTAAACCGACAGGGCTCCCGCACACTTGCCGATTGGCCAGTCACCTCTTTATTAAGCACATGGGACGGAGGAGGTCTGTATCTTATGAAGGGGGCGTGACCCCGGAAACGCGTCATCACACAGTCTCCTCTGCTGACACATAGACACGGCTGTGCAGCTTTCATAGACTTTTCCTTGGGTCCATGGACTTAATTTTTATACTTTTTATACTTCAATCATGAATTTTGTGAGTATGTTTTATATTTACCTTCAATCCTGATCTTAATAAATTTGTCTGCACCAGGAAAGGCGCCCCTTGTTTGTGTTTTTTTCCCTAGATTTTACAGTCTCCCTGGCTGATTTGGGGCAGCATCCTACAGACATTTTTTATAAACGTGTTTATAAATGTGTTTTTTATTCATTCACCAATTTTTATTTCATCTATCAATTTTTAAACAGACTTTGATTCTGACTATATTCATGTGTACATTGGTTTGTACTGGTTGAGCAGTCCTCTCTGGCGCTTTTTTGTGTTTTTTTCTGTACTGCTCCTTATATTAGTGTTCACGTAAGGGTCGCCTTACATTGGTGGTCAGTGGAGAAATGCCTCTTGTAAATGGTGTACTGGTAAGGGTCTTTCAACAACAGTGGCCAATGGAGAAATATCTCTTTAAATAGTGTTCAGCTAAGGGGATCCTAGGCTGATCCATGCTGAGTCTGGTTAAAAATAGAAGGTGATGCCACACATGTGATATCCATGTCTATTCCAACCCATGAGTCTGCTTATATCCTCCCACATCCAGTCAGGTCAGTAAAAGTGAACCTGGACACGTGTTTTTTTTCATTCAGTCTAATGAACCTGAATGGACCCAGGTGTGGGCAGATATAGGCAGATGTAAATCCGCTTACATCTGGCCACCAATTGGCCACAGAACGTACTTTGTTTACCATCCATGCACCTAGCACAAAACAATATATCTAATGCTAGTTCTGCTTTAATATTATTCACCTATACTTGTGAAAGAGTTCTGTTTAATGCTAATTATTTTATAAATATAGGTTAATGATATAAAAAGCTTGTGTCTATGTATAGTTTGTAATTATATGTATACCGAGTTGCCATATTTGCTTTATGCTTTGGAGTGTACAGTAGTGTGATGATACTTTTGTATCCACGCTACACAACATCGGTGGATGTTTAATAGACAGAGTCTCACTGATTAAAAGCAATAGGCTCTGAAAATGAATGAATGTAACATTGCAGATAGGAAGCAAGTACCTCCTCCCAACTCTTCTTACCTGCTGCTGCTGGGTCCCGGCCTCCTCCACCCACTCCCCTGTCACCTTTGCCATGCAGCCCCGGTAAAGTTGATACCCATGTAAGAGGCCCCCCAGACCCCTCACATGGGTACCGGCTATACCCCCCTGATGGC